ATTCATTGTAAAAACTAATTTAACGAATTTTATTGCGTAATTTTTTTAATTCTCGACTTTTTGGGCACTTCAAAGCACCCTTGGTCACGGGAAGGCTGGCACCGAGGTGCTTAATGTCCTGATTTCTAGTTAACGAAGCTGGTAGTTAACAAGACTGTAAAGGATGGTGGTGAGATTAACCATTTAAATATCACTTAGTTTGTTTTTTTGTATTTGTGTAGAACACCGATTCCTACCAAGGATAGTGCTCGAGGCGAGAAGAAATGGCTGGAGAAAAAATGCTACCATTTGCTGTGATCTCTTATTTAATTAAATGAAATCTAAACTCAAGCATACTACTGCAAGAGTTTAAGATTTGGACAAAAAAGAGATTGGAACAAAAATTAAAAATTTAATCTGGAGGTAGCCAAGGTTAACTCAGTCACAATGGGTGCTGTAAAGTGCTCGAAACGTTGGGATTATAAAATAAGTTTATATACGTGATAAGATCCGTAGAAACTAGTTTTATTAAAATGTGTAGTATTCGCGTAAATTTAAGAAATCATTAAATAAAGGTAGTGTTCGTTAAGACATCAGTTCATCATCTACCTCAGTCTTTTCCGCTACCACAGTTTATTAGACTGTGCCGTTACCGTGGGTGCAGTGCAGAGCTTGAACCGTCGAGAAAAAAACTTGATATGAAACGCTATAAAATCTGTAAAATTAGTTTTATTTAATTATTTAAACCCTTTAAAAGAATTTCAATAAGGCCAACATATGTTCGCAATGTTACAAGCTCATGTTGTTTGTGTAGATCAGAATAAGGACTCACCGTGCATAAAATATCACTACTGAGGTGAAAATAATTGTCATAGAGTGTCACTAGAAGTGAAACAAACAATGCGTCTTTGGTTGTTCAGTAACTTTTTTGTACATTTTTAAATCTCGTTTTAGAATTTACTTTCAGGTAGGGAATGCAATCCAGCACCCAAAAGATAATCTTGCAAGATTGAGACTATCAGTCCCGCGGATCCGCAACATTTGCAGGATTTTAGAAGATTTTAGAATTATTAGCCCACTAAATTATTTTCTAAGGCAGTAAATGAAACAATAGAATTTAGTTAGAAGAAACAAATAGTATAATTGAATCCATGGAACATTTTGCTGCCTAAAAAAATCTGTGATGACTTTTACCATTTTAAACGGCGTTAAAGTATTTTGTTGTGAATGCTGCTCTGAATAGCTTGTACTGGCGGTTTCAATATCACTAACGCTACGTACAGATTCCTCTGTTATCTTATACTTCGTACGCAAGTGTACTTGCAAGCCCTTAGTGGATCGAGCGCTTATTTTGATGATAGAAGGACAACGTTTACACTTAGCAGAAAAGCCATTTTTCGTGCTGCCATACAAATTTATTACTGTCGTATTCCTTATAAATTACTTTAGCATTCATTTTTAAGTTCTCAATTCCAACTTTACTTATAGCCAGTTATTTATTTATTTATTTTATTTAGATAGAATGTTGCTTTTCAAATATAAAAATAAACCGTTTAAAGCATGTCACAAAGTACGCACTAGTATGCACAGTACGTCACGAACTCACGAATCAAAACTGAAATAGTGGAAGCATTAGTAGAGTATCGACAGATATTTTGAGGAATCCCCGTACAGAGAGAAATTCCCATTCACTCGTCACTCGACTCACACACACATACGTACTTCAATTTGGGGATCCGACTGTTGTCGTTCATTCGTGCCGTACATGATGTTATGCGAATTTAGGCCAGAAAAATAAAATCTTACAAATTTTGCGGATCCCGCACGTGCCATCCCGCATTTGTAATCCCACTAATTTCATGCGGGATCGCATTTGCGGGATTGCGGATCCGCTGGATTGCATTCCCTACTTTCAGGTATATACCAAGTTTGGTTTAACCATTTTTATCTATTTTATATAAAGCACAATTAGCATTTCACTTTATATTTTCCTAAAAAATATAAAATTTTATATTTTCCTGACAATTTAACTTTCCTTTTATGAAATCTGTCAAATATTTCACCACACTTTTAAATGGTGCATCCCTAATGGCAGAAAAAGTTCTGAATGCCCTCATTGTTAAACTATTTTGATATACAAATCAATAAAAACACCGATAATCAATGTCACTTAAAATCCTAAGTTATGATAAATATTTTCGAAACTGGGTACTAAGCAACGTGTAAAAGGTTACTCTGCTGGGACTGTAGAATAGTCATTATACATATTACATATGCAATGTGAGTTTATGATATGTATAATATAATATCATTGATGTGAGTATAATGTGTGAATGTTGTTTTATTTTCATTGTGCTGTCATCAAACAGCGTACAGTTGCTACGTTAAGGTATCAGCTATGAAATTGATTACGTACTGCTGATTTTAGTATTAAGATTTACTGAAATTGTTTGATGAATATAATATGAATTTATATTCATCATATATGAATTTTAATTTCGATATACAGTGTAATAAAAAGTTCATGTTGTCATTTCTTAAATGTATAAATAAAAGACTTTATAAGCAATTTTATTTTTATATATTTTGAAATATGCATTTGAAAAGATTTCTAAGTATTGCATAATGCTGCTTTTTTCGTTTAACTGCTGAATTTATGTGCTGCAATGTAGACCACTCCTAAGGTGACAATTGACAACGCATCCATTTTTATCCCTTGTTTTGGTTTCACTGTGTGCTCATTTCTCACCTTTACTTGAATAAGCAAAAGCTAAAAATTTAAATTTTAGGACTTCTATTGAAATTTGAATATTTTTAACAGATTTATTTTCTAAAAAATTGCTATGTACAGTCAATCACCTTAATAGATTAGTTGACACATTCTTAACACTAAACAAATCTATGTCTACGGCCGAATAAATTAAAGAATTGATATGTATTAAATACAAATCATCATAAAGATGTTATTTGTAGACGCCAATCGAAGACCCATCAATAATCAAGTGGTGAATGAATGGTTCTAGTTAAGCTATGCGAGCTTTAAGAAATATTTATATTTCGAGCACGCGATCTTCTCCAGGTTAGGGGGAGACAGGAAAAAAACACAAGTGGGGCAGAGACCGCTTCCGCCGCACTTCCAAAATAATTCACGTGCGGCTAAATATAAGCTCACAGTGCAGCGGCACGCGCAGGACGCGGTCGGCGCCAGGACATTCAGTTCAGTCATAATATGTCGTGCCTCACGAGTGTAAAGTAAACAAAGCCGGTCTGATATTTGAAAGAATGTTTATGATTTTACCGCGTAAATTGTTCTAATACGCCAAGCATTTATAAGCATTTGACGTTGGTGTTTTGAAAAATAAATAAATATTACATAATTTATTTAAAAAATAGTACTAACATTTTAACGCAATAAAAATATTTGTATTATATGAACTCGAATTAGTTAAAATTCACGTTAGAAAAATATATACCCGTATTTATTGCAACTGAATATACTTTTTAAGAATTCGGTTATTTCTTCATTTTACTGTTTATGACTTGACTTACAAAGTAGTTTACTATAACTTTTATTGCGTGAACTGTTAAGGCGTGGTGTGTTTATTTGTTTGTATGTGTATCTTTGTGTGAAGACTCAAAGCAACAAAATGATGTTTAACGGGCTGCTCGTGTGTGGGGATTCCGATACGAGCGATTTCACTAAAGTGAGTTTTCTTTTATCATTTAAATTAAAAATACAATATCTTAAAATCGATACAAGTTCAATCTGTAGACGATCATGTTTTTGCAAAAATGCTTAGATAAATTATTAGCCATCACTTATGAAAAGGCTGTATGGTCTTTCAGGCTTTGCCTAATTCTATTGTCTTGAATAGGATGTAGGATTATATTGTTTTTATAAATATTTTGATGACAAACAAGTTCTCTCTGCACTTTTATATTTAAAAGAATCACAGAGCTATTAACATTACTTGTATTCTCATTAACCAGTTCAACTAAGATGAAATTGCTTGTTGTAGGAGCGGTTAAAAACAATAAGCGAAAGGCGGCTTCAAACCTACGACTTTTTAATGTGAAATTATTATTTTTTTCATTCCGTAAGGATAAGACATCCTTCTGTCATTGTTTTTTGTGAGTTGCTCGTATACTAAAATACAAGCGCCCGGTGCCTGAAATATTGCAATACTAATAATATTTGTAGGACATCTAAGTCAACCAATATGAATTGTTTGTGTAACTGATTGTAACCTCAAGAGAATATAACCACTACGTTTTAAACCATTCATATAATAATTTCTTCATACACATCAAATAAGGATATTTATAGAGTTATAAAAATAATAATGTCCTCCAGACCGAATTTCGGCCACGGCGGCCTTCCTCAGCGGAGACTAGCCATCGGTGCAGGACAGGATTATAGTGCCCAAGTGTATGCGCAAGCACAGGTGCCCTCTCTATTCCCTCACTCCATAATCCGATGGGACGGTAAACCGACACGACCGGAGAGAGATCAGGTGCAAGACCAACGGCGTTACGTGGGGGTGAGACATCACCAACTTCCTGACTCCGGGCAACTTTTGAGAATTTCTTGACGGAAAAACTCAATAATTAATTTTTTGACCCGACCCGGGATTCGAATCCAGGACCTCATGATCAGCAGTCGCACTACTACAACCACTAGACCAACGAGGCAGTCATTTTTTTAGAGTTATTAAATATTTAAACATAGCATCTTTTTTTAAATTACGAAACATTACCGCGACCGCTAATCTGTTTATCAAGTATGGTATCTTTTTTTCTATAGGAAAGGCCTTAGTCTAACGGTATGAAGTATTAGTATGAGTTAATGAATAAATGTCCTTAAGTTTTTTTTTAATTAACTTAAGTCAATCGATTTCTTTCAAGGAACCTGTAATATTATGTAATGTATAGTTATATATATAGAGTAGTAGTTAAACACTCAACATAAGTAGATTATTTAAGACCCTTAGTGGAATAATTTGTATTTAAATTTGTTACAGGAGAGTATAGGTGTCTCGAGTATAGCAGAGAGTGCTATAAGTGATCCGCTCTCGACCACGGAGTGCCTTAAAAGCAAGCTCTTCGCCACCATGCAGATAGTTTGTACTAGTGTCCTATATATTTTGATCTCATGACTGAGAGACTTGTGTGCCGTATATGCTGAGTGTATTGAAAGCCAATACTTATATATGTAACACGCCACATTGATGCATTCTGGTTTAAAGAATAAAAGTCATTATAACTACAGACTTTGAGGTATTTCACCTTAGTCCTCAGAGGTGATAACGCATCTGTGGCCAAAGGTGGTTGTGAGTGTCTATCGCCTGCTTGTCAATTTACTTCATCACTATAAGTCGTGCTTACGGGGGTGGATTGAAAAGTACTCGGCCTAACCAAGAAAATAAACACATACTAAATCAGTTATATTTTTATTTTTCTACATAATCACCATCAAGTTCAATACACTTTTGCCACCTCCCCTTCCAAGCATTTAGACCGTTGAAAAAAAATGATTCTTCCTTAGAGTCAAAATATGCGTCTACAGCTGCTTTGACCTCGTAGTTTGTCGAAAATCTTTGACCTCCCAAGTGCTTTTTTAGGTTAGGGAACAGAAAGAAGTCTGATGGTGCCAGATCAGGTGAATTTTTTTTTTATAGAATAGGGTGACAAACGAGCACACAGTCCACCTGATGGTAAGTGGTTGCTGCGGCCCATAGACATCTACATCTATCCTCCATTAAAAATCAAAATGCAGATGCGTTGTCACCCGTGAGGACTGAGATGGAATGCCTCGTTTCCAGTAAAAAGGGTCTCCGGTTCTCTACACTCACCATACGAAATACAGCAGCATTAAGCTACTATTTCACGCTGGTATTCTGTGAGAGCGTGGTCCTTCCCCGGTCGAGCCGACCCATTCGTGCTACAACTATACTACTAATATAACTGCAGCATGGCTCTACCACGTAAAGAAAAAGAATACGGCGGATGCGGTAACAGTTCAAAGCCACAGTTGTGAATTTCAGCCATTGACTGTACTGACGTGTGAACACGGGCGTTATCTTGATGAAACAGGACTTTTCTTCTGAGCATTCCTCGACGTTTTTCTTTTATTTCCTCTCGTAAATGACGTAGTAAGGTGCAGTAGTAATCAGAGTTTATAGTCTGACCCCTTTCAAGATAATCAATCATAATCACACCTTTCGAGTCCCAGAATACTGAAGTCATCACCTTATTTGCCGACAAAATCGACTTAGCCTTTTTAGGGGGTGGTGAACCAGGTCTTCTCCACTGTTTTGATTGTTGTTTTGTTTCCGGTGTACAGTAATGAACCCATGTTTCGTCCATAGTAACAAAACGATTCAAAAAATCATCTGCATCGGCTTCAAATAACTCCAAACAGTCGCGTGAAATAGTCAATCGCGTCCTTTTTTGTTCAACTGAAAGCAGTCGCGGAACCCACCTCGCAGACACCTTGTGGAAACCCAACTCGTTGACAATGATGTTTTGAGTTCGTTCATAAGAGATGCCTATAATCTCGGCTATCTCTCTAATTTTTAATCTGCGGTCTCCCATTATTAAATCAAGTACTTTTTTAATATTTTCGTCAGTAGTTGACGTCGAAGGCCTTCCAGAGCGGGGTTCATCTTTCACACTCTCTCTACCACGCTTAAACTCTGCTATCCATTTTTTGACGGATGAATATAACAGAGCACAATCGCCTAATGTACTGACCATGTCATCATGGATGGCTTTTGATGATAGCCCCTTCTTATGGAGGTACTTAATGACGGCACGCTGCTCGATTTGCTCCATTCGCGGAAATTATGTCCGATTACTTTGTTAATAAATTTATAAAATCACAACTAATTATCGCACACGTTTCGAACTTCACACAATGAACTAGTCTGAACTGAACTAAATAATGTGGGTAGATTTGATTTTTAGAATTGAATGGATCTGTGTTAGGCCGAGTACTTTTCAATCCACCTAGTAGAACTTTCTATGTCTAGCAGTCACAAGATAAAACGGACACAAGCTTTCGGTTGGTATATCATACCTAGTTTGGTTTGTAATGGCGGATCCACACTTGCGCACGTGCAGCGCAAGGGCGAAAACAGTGCCCACAACCTCGCATGTAATCACGAACACGTGCACGTGATGTTTATCACAACTTGCACGCGAATTGCTTGTTAACGTATCCATACTATGTTCTTATGATGCACGTAAACCGCACTCTTCATGCGCGTACGTAATTGTCGTAGCACCTTAATTTATAAGTTGTCGTATGTACAACAGCTGGAAAATAAAGAGGAGACTATCCGAGTGCAGGCGCAGAGTCTGGCGGTAGCTGAAGAGAGAATATCGGCGATGGCGGAACGCGCTGACATGCTTCGACGGCAACTCAGTCAGGTTAGTACACGTGCTTATAGGAAAAAACTAAAAAAAAAAACTAGTGGCCGTTGTTTTTTTTATTTATGGGATAAGGGTGACAAACGAGCGCACAGTCCACCTGATGGTAAGTGAATGCTGTGGCCCATAGACATCTACATTTATCCTCGATTAAGAATCAAAAGCAGATGCGTTGTCACTCCTGAAGACTTAACGAGGTGCCTCGTTTCCATTTTAAAATGTTTTAAACCGTAATATGTAAAGTTTGATCGATGGCAATATCATGATGTTAATAACCATCAGCCGTGGTACCTTCGGGGCTTAGCACTCGCCGTTAATATCGTACGTTATTCGGGTTCCATCCACGCCGGCATCAATGAAGTTGGTACACAGAAATAGTGTCAAAGGTGCGGAACGTCTCGTACTGCGAGCATCAATTCACCTGCTAAGCGAATCGTCTCTCCTCTGTCACATAATAGAGGCCTATATTCAGCAGTGGATTTTTCGGCTGAAGATAGTGAAGAAGCAGACGCTAAGTTGTGTGCATTCGTTTTTCTGGTTTGCGTTTCGTGAGCATTCACATTACATTCAAAGTCCACTACTACCAGTGAAAAGAAGGTAAAGTACTCAAATGTGAGCTTTTTTATTACTGACGCGTCGCTTAATACCTTTTCATTTGACGCCCAAGTATTGGGTAGGACTAGGACTGACGAGTTGTGTTTGGGTTCAAAAATTAACTATTAAAATATCTTGCTTAGTTTTTTCGGTAAAAGTTGTTATTTTTTATTATATTACGCCACTGATCTCTATATATACCTTGTATATATAGAGGTTAGTGTATTACGTTCATTCACTAAATTATCACTGTCGGTCATATACAGTGTGTAAGTGTAAACACCGTTGTCACTGAAACCATAGGTGGTTGGCTTTAATATAAAAATATTTATCCGATTTTTAAAAAAAAAAAACGCTATTTTCTTTTATAAAATTAAAAAAGTTTCTGTCCGACACCGTCCGTAAATTCATGGATACCCTATGCGCTCGAGTGACGTAATCACTGTAAAGATCACCGCCCCCCCTTGCTACCTACACAACATTTCAATATAAACACAATGGTACACATAACCTATCATGAAACTTTTCCTTCATACTTTCACACTTGCTTAGGACAGATAAAAATTCCTACCCTTTGTGTTGCGTGACGAGTCCAAATTAATGTAAGTTAGATTTAACAACAAAGAAAATTAAACATTAATAATAGTAAATAGTAAATCATTAGGTAGGATTTTTGGCGTATTTACCGTATACCGTACCGCGGCCCTGGAACGCAAAGGGCATTTGAAGCATAAGCTGACCGTTCGTTGTACGGAAAGATCATACAAAGCGAGGCCAAGACAAAGGATTTGTACAGCTTGATGTGTAGCCTGATTGATTGGTTATTTACACTTACCTATTAAATAAAATCCTCGTAAATGAATTCCATTTTGATCAGCTTTTACATTAATCGTAAAAGCTAGAAGCACAACAGTGTCATTTCTCTAAATACACTAAGAATTCGACGTATTACGGAACTTAGTTACATACACTCGGCGCTTCACTTCTCCCCAAAGATAAAAGTCCAGCGGGGTAAGGTCGGTTCATCACACAGGAAACTCCTCAACCAGCATAGCCCTGATTTGAAAATGTGCAGGGGCACCGTCATGTTGGTAGTAGAGGTTTCTCAGTGAACCAAGAGGCACATTTCCACTGCACGTTTATGTAGGACATAATTACAAATTAAATACACTCGCACCAAAACTACAACCTAAAGCGACTGACGAATGTTGGCACTGCGCGGCGCGATTTTAAATCAAATTAACACGTACATTCCGTACCGACGCAGTGAAGGTGACTGACACACTGACACAGTGACATTGGCCTTGACCGCGAATCGCTGCCGCTACCTACGATATGTTGAGTTTTTTCTTGCCTAGGGTGAAATAATTGTAAGAAAAAATTGAGATTTGACTAAAAAAAATGTTGTTATTTTTCATTGTAATTACTTTCTATAAGTGAAACCAAACTACTGCTTTCAAGGACAACGGTGTTTACACTAACACCCTGTATATATATATATATATATATATATATATATATATATATATATTTATTTATTTATTTATTCAAACAAACTTACAGCTCTTATATTACAATATTTATACAATATTATTTATATATAAAGTGAATATTAACAATTCATTAGTCAGAACAGTTTCCAACGATAAGAATTACATTGCGAAAACTTTAGACATAAATAAATGAAGTACATGTTTGTGTTTGTCATAGAGAAAAAAATACTTAATGCATGCCTAATAGCAATGTTAGTAAAGGTAATTTTATATTCAGAGAGAGAACAATAGGTACACACTGCGCTTAAGCGTGATCAACTTGCTAACCCCTAAGATACCGTGGACATGTTGATAGATGAAATATAACCACTTAGTTTGCAGTTAATATAAAAATATCAATATGGTTATATCGTTCATTATGTGTGTTGCAAGCACGGACCAGAAACCGATTTTTCGAATACTTAGTTCTGCAAAATGGAGTAGAGAATACTGCATTGGAGCGAGCACTTAACCTAGGGCATCTAAATGAAATACGACTTAGAAGGAAGGAGGAATCTATATAGTTATGTAAAAGTTTAAACAAGAACACCTGATCCCTACGTTCACGCCGTAATTCTAGTGAATGATGTAGCGCAGAATGATCCTTAAATTTATAACTCTTTTTAGAAACTTTTTTGAATCCTTTCTACTTGTTCCACGTAAGAAGTATAAATAGGGTTCCACACCGTAGATGCATATTCAAAATGACTTCTTACTAAAGAATTATAGAGCATAATATACGTGTGTATGTTTTTGAAGTCCTTGCATTGTCGGAAGACAAAACCTAACATTCTATAAGCCTTGGCAGTGGCCTTGTTAATTTGAGACGCAAACTCTAGTTTATCATCGAGATATACTCCCAGGTCCATTACTTCGGTCACTCTTTTAATCAAAATATTATAATTGTAAATAATGGGTTGTTTTTTTTTTCGGGTATAAGTTATAGTATAACATTTATCAATATTTAATTTTAGATTATTAGCCGAACAATATTCATAAAAATTGTTTAAATCCTTTTGAAATAGGAAAGCGTGTTCGAGATTCTTAACGAATGTAAATATTTTAGTATCATCAGCGTATAGTAAAGCTTTTGAATGTTGAATGCTACGCATGACATCGTTTATAAATATATTAAAAAGAAGAGGACCGGGATGAGAGCCCTGAGCACACCAGAAGTGATCGGGACAAAGCTCGAGGTATAGCCCTTCACAGCTACTGCCTGAGACCTATCACGTAGATATGAGGTTAGCCATCTTAAGAGATCACCGTGTATACCGACGTTAACAAGTTTAGCAATCAGTAGATTGTGCGAAATTTTATCAAATCCTTTAGAAAAATCGGTATACACGGCGCCAACCTGATAGTCTTTTTCCACGGCCTCCAATGTTTCATCCAGAAACTCGCATAAGTTAGTTTCTGTGGATCTACCAGATATGAAACCGTGCTGACTTGAAGCTATTTGCGGTTTGATTGCAGGAAATAGAGAGCCGTATATAATTTTTTCAAATAACTTAGGTATAACAGATAGTATGGAGATACCACGGTGGTTAGCTATATTTTGTTTGTCTCCACACTTAAATATGGGAACAACAAAGGATTGTTTCCAAAGCAAGGTATGCCCTTGCTTTGGAAACAATCACCTTGCTTCAAAGATATATTAAATAGTAATGAAAGAGGAGCCGCTAAGTGTTTACTGCCATGAGGGCCAGTACCTTTATTAATATCGAGATTCTTCAAATATTTTTCGACTTTAACGTTATCAATGTAAACATAATTAATTATACAATTATTATTTTCCGTATCGCAATTCATGACATTATTGCCGGGTGGCTCAAAGGAAGAATGAATTAAATAGATCAGCAATTGTCTGACCCTCCGATGCATGTGTATCACCAAAGTATAGAGTATCAGGTATATCACAGCTTTTTCTCTCTCTCATCTGTCGTTTATATTATTAACGTGATTATATTGTGACCAGTCATTAAAGCATAAAAATGCAAACAGTTGCGATGTCAATATGTTATCATGTGGATTCTCAAGATACAAATTACTATTTGAAAATTGGGGATTTGAGATCCATCTAGCAACCCTTATATTAAAGTCTCACACCAATAAAACATTATCATTAGGATAATCAATTTTAAGATCAGATAAATATTCATAAAACGATAATTCCGATGCCGCCTGATAATCATTTTGGGGGAAGTAGCAACAAATTAGCCTCAACATTGATGTCTTCTGTGACTGATTCAATAAAATATTAACACATGTTACGTCAGCATCATACATAAAAGGTAATTTGCGTAATCCCTGCATACTCACGTTTATTCCTCGGCGAAGCGCAATCATGGTCCCACCGCCTTTTTTAACAGTTAAATTATCATAGTCACGATCGTAACGGTACACGTTATACCGAGAGTCAAATAACTCTGCATCATAGATTCCTGGTAACAACCAAGTTTCGCTTATGCATATAATATCATAATCTGAGTTTAGAATATTTCTATAAAATTGTTTAACTTTCGTCCGCAGACCTCTAGCATTTTGATAGAATATGTTAAGTAAGACTGTAAATGTTAAGTTTAACTAAATAATTTCTTACGTATAGAACGTTCAAATAAAGTACGAGTAGAAACCACTTGAAGTGTAGGTCTATTGCCGGCTCCAAAGCAAGTTGATAGAATCTTACAGCGTGAATATAAAATATTTGGGCTTGCAGCAATACTGCAGTGTTAGTTTTATAAAAAGCAAGTTGACAACTGGTGTACACAATGCTTATTTTAAAAATTAATATAGTTACATATATAGCCAAAAACAATATGCAGTAAGAAAAGTGTGAAACAACCATAGCACTTATACAATTTTGTTTAAAGA